TTCCATTCTCTCCTATAAATTATATCACTCACTCGAAGACTTACATATACCATTTCGAACTACAAGAATACTGACTACGAAAGAAATACATTTTTAAATTTTTAGTAGAAATATCACCTTTACCAGCTGATATCTGAATGGGTAAACTCTTTACGAAAATAATGAGTATGTACTTTTTTACTCTGGAGAATTAGTTTAGTGAAGGGACAAAAAAAAATCGATTTATCGATATTATAAAAAATGACGTTTGGCGCGCAATTACTCTCTGTCAAAGCTCAAAAGGGGCATATTACATTTCAAGAAAAGTAATTTTAGGTTAGTTTTCCACCAATTGAGAAAATTTTCACCGAGATAAGCTCGTTTTTCTTTAAGGTAGGCCTTCAATTGAGCTTTAATTTCACATTTTCTAACGTCTCGAAATCCTACATCCCTTTCACTGGAGGAATCTAAAATTATTTCTAGGTTGCTTATACGACTTCTAGCAGTACTTGTTGACGATCCATCAATTTGCTCGATACACCACTTATCCGTTTAGCTAAAAGCCGTTTATTGCCCGCACCCTGGTTAGACAGACTAAGGGCTATTTCAACAATATTAGAGTGGACTCTCTGCCCATGTACACATTCGCATTCGCAAAACATTCGTATCATTGATGCGAACGAGAATGTGTAAAATGATGCGAATTATTCGCATTTGATCAAAGACTTCAATATGACTGCTGGCAAATTATGTGAAAGTCTAGAAAGCATCTGGTGACTTCAGATGGTGGTGGAAACCTCTCTATGTTTCATAAGCCAGACTAGATTAGCGGTTGTTTTGACTATATGTATTTTTATAATGTCTCTGCTAGTTTTTTTCCAAATATGGAAAAGACTGCGTCACAATTGCATGTGTATGTAAAAATGCGCTTTCACATTTATTAGAATTTATAATATTCAAAGCAAACTAAAAAACTTAAATAAATATTGTAATTTTTTTTATCTTAACTCGGGCGCGGGGGAAACACCCGACATTATTAGTAATTTTGTCACTGTGCACTATAACTTATTTGAATGTCCATTTTTCTCATATATTTATGTACATACATACATGTGTGCGTATGCATGTAAATTTATGCATGTTTACATATATATATAGGTACATATATCAACATGAATACTTTTGTATGTTAGAATATGCGATTATCAGTACCTACGCCATTTATCTTATACCAAATTTTGGGGAACAAATTGAATTCTAATTGACGCACAGCATGTAATCGTCACGGCAAACTGCTTGATTGTTGTGTTAATAGATCCTGGCTATTAAAAGTACAAACGAATTTACCCACGCATATGCATACATACATATTTATCCATATGTCGAATGCAACATTTACAGTTAGTTACGAAAACGTAAAAATAGATAAATGTAGATATGTACATACGTAAATAGAAAATAGAAAATGCGGGCTTCATGATATTTCTCGTATGCAAATATTTGGCTGCTGTGGCTGAGTGGGTAGCGGTGTGTACTACCACTCCGTAGGACATGGGTTAGATTTCTCGTCCGAGCAACATCTAAATTAAAAAAAGGTTTATGTAACAGCGGTCGCTCCTCCGCACGCAATGGCAAATCTCCTAGTGTTTTTCTGCCATGGAAAAGCTTCTCATTTGCCGCTGGAAGGCGGCGTAAACCTACAGATCCCTCCATTTGTGTTATTGCATTAAGACGCACACAAAAAATTTGAGGAGAAGCTCGGCCAAACACTTAGCCAAAGTGTAAACGCCAAAATAATATTATCATTATTATTATTAGACATTTGGCAAATAATAAATGATGAAAACGAAAATAGTCACCCATAAACAACATGTAAGATTGGAAGTACAATAAAATAATAACTCAATCACAATAATAAAAGCATATGTCACTAAATGAATTTGGTCTGATGTTGCGGTGTTGAAAATCTAAACTACCCAGTGGGAAAATGTAATGTATAGTAATCGAAAAAATAATCAGTAAAACAATCCTTTTCACATTCGAAAATCAAATTTTTTCCCAGAGCGATGTCCTAAGAAAAGTGGGGCATTCAATTTTGCATTACCTAGTATCGAGAAATGAATGTGTTTTAATATGAAATTTTTTGAACTTTTTGAATACATTAGAATGCTGATTACATAGTTAGCAGTAATATAATCGAGAACTCATAAGAAATACATAATATTATTTATCACGCATGTAATGCATTACTACTTTTCCGACTGGGTACATGGTGAGAAAAATTCGAATGCACAGCCAGTACAAATGTTGAATAGTCGATACGTTTTTAAGTATGCTTAGTTATCTTACTACGGCCCGAGCTAATAAAGAATTTTCGTGCAACCATGTAACATAATTATTGTATTGTTTTAGAATGAACAATGTATTGTTTTTGTAAAAAATAAAAAAGGCAGAAAACCTTGCCGTTTTGATTTCTAAATAATTTCATTTAAGAAAGACGGTAATCAATTTAATTGAATAGCTGAGTTCGACAATCGTAAATACATGGTCAAAATTTTACATTTTAAATGAAGATAGCCACTTGTTAAGAAATTTGTCTCTTCAGCCGACTGAGCTTAAAAACCGTACTAGATACTTAAACATTAACGTACCAAATCTTGTTGCACCCGTGAGATATGAAGAGAAAAACCGTGCAAGTCCGTGACTTGTGCGATTTTTAATCTCAACAACTGAATAGTGCTACTATAGTTAGTGCGGCTATATGAATATGTAAGAGAAACAACCAAGTAAGCGGCGTTTCCTCTTAAGGCAGTGTCACACGATTGAGCATTTATCCAAAATTCGGTGCAAATTGTATCATCCCAATCACGAAAAACAATTTGGGCAACATTTTCAATAGAAGTTCGCTGTATTGTATCTACCAATCGTGTGAATGTAAAAAAATATCGCCCCAATTTTTTTTTTATTTTATACCAATAGCCAAATATAAAAAATGTACAAATCTTTAAAAATGTACCAATCGTGTGACACTGCCTTTAGCATTATAGGCTACCAAAATATTCAACAAGATCTATCATTAATTTTCATTAAGCGGACAATCGATTACAAGTGAGTAGGTAAGTAGGGGCCAAACTGCTCGGAAATTTTATAAGCGGTCAAAAACTGTACAAGTTGTTAAAGAATTTCAAAATGATAAATTAATTTTCTGTGCTTATAAGCAAAAAATACTGATACGGTTTAGACATGGGCCCGCACTTATTGAGAACCTTATTTATATAACTCTAAGACTGTCCCAATTTATGTGCGCTTTTCCAGATTAAGAACAGTCATTTTAATTTTTTCAAAAATAGGCGTGACACCGCCCACTTATATTTACATAGGTACATCTCGGTAACCGATTTATATATTTCTACCAAAGTAATTTCTTTGGATTTAGCGAAGCTATGGGTTGGAAATTTTTCAGAGTGCTTCGTTATGTTTTTAGCTGTTTTTATTGCCTAATACTTAAAAAGATTAAAATAAAGTTGTTTTGAAGTTCCCAAAAAAGCAAAAAATGAGCATTATCATGAGTTTCATTTTCCCCGAACCGATTCACTTTTCACGTTTGCTTTCCATGGCTTTACTATGGGCGGATGACAAATATTCGGGTGAATTTTTTTTCAGGCGAAACTCAGGATAAGGCAGAATAAATTTTTAAAACTTAAGTTTGAACTAATAAATTATCAAATTGTGTAATTAAACGCTCATATGGAATATATTTGAAATAGGGCGGTGTAAGAATCTACCTAGCACCATTAGGGTCAGTTTCTCAATGTCTCCTCCCAGTAAAACATCGTTATCGACGTTATCGACACCCAGCCTACAGAATGTGATCAATAAAGCAGTCGATATGCTTAACTGAAGGATGTAGCTCCAGTTAGCGACTGCTCTGCGATGCTTCTAAGTTCGTAGGCATGTAGGCACAGTGTTGCCATTTTAGCTATTTTCCCACTAGATCTAGCGACTTTATTTTATACTTAGCGGTAAAATTTACAATTCGGTGACTAGCGGGATTTTTAGTGTTTACTTAGCTAGTTTTTAGCGATTTTATTAATAATGATCGAAATTCTATACATTTACATTTTTCACTGCATAAAATCGATGAGACTTAAACACTGTTTGCTATTACTAATTTTTTTACTTGTAACAGTTTTCGAATTTTCAACCTTACATTAAAGGTTTGTATTTAATTTGACATCACATGCATGTATATATCGCACGTTTAATACTTCAAAATTTCAGTTTTGTAGGAAAACGCATCGAAGTTTAATTAAGTCATACAATTGTTATACCATAAGACATATAGAAAGACTAAGTTATCTGCTAGACTGAACATATTCTCCTTACAAATCTTATTAACTGTATGACGAAATGTCAAAAAACGTAAATTTTGAATTACTTCTCTATATTATTAAACGTGCGATATGATCACATATTTTATCAAATACAATTGAACTGCTAAATTATAAAATAAACTATTTTTTCATAAGAGTTTACAGAATTGAAATGATTTAGCGGGATTATAGCGATTTTTGTTTATAAATCTGGAGGGACGGAAAAACAATAAATGGCAACACTGGTGATGACAGAGCAAAGTAGTTTGTAGTAGTAGTATTGAATATATGTAAGCCCTCGATATGTATTATGAGCTATGAGAAAGCCAAAAGGAGTTTAAAGGTCGATTTGTTAAAGTTTGTGTGATATGTATTTCTTATTTATTAAGACATTGAGAGATCTATAGAAAAACGAACATTGTACTTTTAAATTTTTAACTATGAAAGTGTGATATTTTAACTCCGGGATGGAGAGCGTAAGTAGCAGCAGATCAGGATATTTCAACCTAAAACTATATGGTGGTCATTATACGAGCACCAGCTAAATTCCCTAACAAACCTCAAGACAGATCTTGTTGGGTTTTCTTTTAACTTCGTTCGTAAACATTTAAAGTTATGCTCACATTTGCACCCCTTTAATGCACTTACCTAACATCTTGATCACGCGACGCGTTCCATAATGATTCATCCGCCCACGCACAGCGCTCAACTGACTCCCGCCCGTGTAACGATAGAGCATCGTATCGCTCTGTGTGCTCTGCATGCTCATGCGGCCGTTGCCTTTGCGTGTTCCGCTCGTTCGGGCGAAGCTACTGCTACCAAAGGGAAGCCGTCCACTGCCGCTGCCCCTGCCGCTGCCGCTACTTCCCCTACCGTTTACCGCTTTCCCGCCCGTACTAATGTAACCAAAGCCGCCCCCATCGACCTCACCACCCGTGGCACCCATTAAGTTTGAGCGATGCAATCGCAGGCCAATCAGCAAATATAATACCAAAATGATGGACATTGGAGCAAAGAAGAAAATGAAAGTGGACAGCTGAAATGAGTGTTGAATGATATTTCGCACCACAGCGCATTTCTCGATGCCATTCAGCATGATAATGCCGAATTGGGCCGCCTGCGGTATGGCCGTCAGCACCGAAACTAGCCATATGAGCACAATGATGCGGATGGCACGACTCAATTTTGACATAGCCTGCCCGAGAAATGGATGGCAGATGGCCATATACCGCTCCACCGTGAAGGCGGTTATGGTGAGCACAGTTGCATTTGCTGAGGTCTCAGCCAATACGCCGCGGCCGATGCAAAAGTATTCGCCAAAAACATACGGATATTTCGACCAGATGAAGTACATCTCTTGTGGAACTCCGGAGAGCAGTAGCAAAAAATCAGAGATGGCCAAACTGAAGAGATAATAGTTGGTGGCTGTGTGCATGGAGCGATTTTTCTTGATAACAATGCAGGTGCTGATATTTCCAATAACACCGCTTACAAATATCAAACTGTAAATGATCGTCACCGGTATTACGATGTTGAGTGAATCCCTCGTAGGACCCAGGTCGTAAAAGTGATGAAACGAACCATTTTGTGCATTGTCATAGTTGTAGTTGTAGGCGGCGAATGGATCGTCAAATGAATTGGAGGTACTGTTGTTGATTAGCGGTTGGAGCGCGCTGCTGGCATTGGATAAAGCTGCGTTTGATTTTAGTGCACTTGCGTTTGGGTCTAGGGTGGTAGCTGTCGAGGCCATAGCTAAACGTGCAAACGATGCAAGTGCTTTGTTGGTATCGGTCATTTCCTGCGTATACGCTTAATATTCGATGTTGATTCTTCGTTTTTCACACTTTTTCTAATGCAATATTAAGATTTTCACCGTTTATTTGTTTACACTTCGCTTTATTTTTAGTTCAACCGCAAGTGAATTCGCACTGTGTGTTTTCTTTGCAATTTCATTATTTCAATGCGACGATATGCAAATCACAATAATTGCAAATGAAAAATGCGCTTGACTTCGACGCAAGCGACTACGACAACGCCAATGACCACGACAATGCTAAACTGTCCCAGGTAATTGCGAATATCGGCATATGAGTCCAAACGTTAGTTAGCAAGTAAGTAAGAAAGCGCGCGTCTCAACTGTAATCACGCCGCATCCACGGTCAACACGCAACGCTGTGCGCCACACTATACACTATTTTCGCACAAGAAAATAGGAAAACACTTCACATATAAATATTGTATATGCATACATTTATGTACAAATCTTCCAATTCATTAGGAATAATATGTATGAATTTTTTTCGCGTTGCGCGCGCCCCTTTATTTGCCGGAAAACCCTACAAACGCGTCCGTTTAAACTCGAGTCCCAGCAGCGTTTAAATGTCCCGCACAAATGGCAGTATTAGTGAGCCGCTATACATAAATAGCCTGGATCTGTTTCTAGTTAACTTCGGTTATGGGCGCTGCATCCGCTGCATGCATACCGGTGCTGTTGTAGCTCTTCCAGCTGTCAGAAACACAAAGAGTTTTCGAGGTTGCATGCGCGCGTATTTATGGCAAAATTAGACCCCAACAACAAAAACGACGAACACTACAGCGACAGCGGCAAGCGCTACCATTGGCGTTACAATACATACATACATACGTAATATGGATTTTATACTCGTATGTGCTATATATTAAAATACATACATAGCTACCTACATATGTATGTATGTATGTGCTGCTAGCGCTGATTTAATTGTATGCATACGTTTTCGTATTTGTTTTCGTTTTCATTTTCCATTTCGATTGCATTTGAATTAACGACAATTTTCGCTCCGTGCATTGCTTTGTGTTTGCGCTTTTAGGGATGATTAGATTTGCATATGATTTGCGTAAATATGAAATACAGTCAACCTCAAATAAAATACCCTTACATTGCTAATTTGTTAAATGAAAATTTTTTTTTGATTCAAGCCATTTTTTTCTAACAAACTTCTTAAGGTAAATGATGCTTTATGTACTCTTATTATTTACCGTTACATTTTGGGCGTGATAAATTTATTGACCGTTAAACTGAAATTTAGATGGATCGTAGGTCAGTCTAATTTGGCTGACTGTCTGCACGCAACGCTTAGACATTTTGGCCCCTTGCGATACCAGATTGGAATGAAAACATTCCAAAAATCAACGGTAAGTGATACTTCATTCTTGCAATTTTTTATACAAAAATATAAGGAGCTACAAAACTGCATACTGAAAATCTTTCTATGATGGATTTTTTTTTTATTGCACAAAGTTTGATACATTTATATTTATATGGTTTTTTGTAAAGAAAAAGGTGTTAAAAAAAAAATAACTCAAATTAAATAACAAAAAAAAGCTATTGTGGTGCGCTTATAATTTTGACACTGGGAGTATAACGAATGGTATACTATTTTACATATTTTTATTTATTGTTTCCCTTAGCTTTTAGTTTTCTTGATTGTTTGCGCACTGAATTCATGGCGCAAGCTTCCACAATTTAACAAGAAATGTATCCTTAAATAAAACAGTCAATTTTTATAACTTATGTGAATGGTTTTTCTTAATTTTCGATTTTAATCGAAACGACCGATTATTCGGTTAATTTCTTACGATTAATTGCAATTAATAATCGAATTCTTTCGATTAATCGATTAACCTATTAATCGATTAATTAATTGTACCACCAGTAGAGAGTGAACTGTCAGCAAACCCGTTATCCTTCTGCAGTCTTTCTGTAGCACTGTGGCTGAAGGTGGTAATACTATCCCCCCCCCCCCTCTCCCCCGCAGCTACTTATCTTTGCAAGACCTTATCCAAATCGTTCTGCAAATTTATTAGCAGTTCTTTTATGTAACTTATTTGTTCTTTCCCTAAGTAAATAACGATTTTGTCAACCTCATCTACTATTTCGTTTCCTTCAATAACCCTATGAACTGGAAACCTGTAGGTGTGCCTATTCGCGGCTAGCATCTCTGAATCTTAAAACATTTTTGGAAGAAATGTGGCTAACGCTGATGCCTTTATCCTCGCTTAACCAAATCGATCATGTTGTGACAGACGGAAGGCATGCTTCCAGTATTTCAGCCGTACGTACTACGTACATTGGGAGGGTCAAACATCGACTCCGAAGGGTCCGAATATTCCAGGTGCATACCCGTTGGTCAACATCAAAAGAAGACAGTTTCATCGGAGGCGTTTTTGTTATTTTGCGCACAGGTTCTTCGCGTTCTCACTTAAACTCGCTGCCAAATGGGTGTTTCTCACTACCCAGTGGGTATGTGGATGTAAATATCCAGACGACGTGTGTTGCAAATGAATCTCTTCCGGTCACTTCTTGGTGAGCGGCAGTAAAAAGTTTTCAGTAATGTATTAAATATCGTATTTGTTCAGCGCAGTGCGTATTCATCCATAAGTGGAAGAAACAATAGGACTGTTCGGGATTTTTTGCATACTTCATTGCATTTTTAAATCCCGATTTTCAGTTTTTTCTTTATTAATTTAATAGAAGTATCCGTGCACTCTAGCTCAAAGGCCATTTTTCGGATATTTGGTTATATTTCTATCATTCTTGCTTTAAAAATCTTTAAGGTCATTAAATTTATTTGTTAAGTTTTTGTTACGAAACGATACAAACTTGACTTTGGTAAAATTTAAAAAATAATACTTGTTTTCTTTAGAAATCAATGGATATGAAAAAGGGAAGCTATATACATACGTATATTATATGTATCAATTTTTGCGATAATTTTTCAAGTTATTTTCTCTTTGGTTTGTTAAAAGATAACAGGTCTTTTTATTCTAAAAGCAAAATTTTAGGTTTTGATTCGCAGCTTTTGAAATGTCTGGATTTTTGGTCACAGACTTATATTGGTCGCCGTACTTATATTGGACAGTAAACTGCTTCTTAAGCAATAAAATTTACGGTACAGGGTATTGATAGTATTTATCAAGCCTTTCCTTGCTTTTGATTATGGTTTTTTTTATGGAAAGCGTATTGTTGGACGAGCACACGAAATTCCATATCCATTTTCGTCAAAATTTATGAGGTTGTCTACTTTTTAAATGGTGTAAGTAAGTGATGTGGCTCGCGCAAAAATTTGATCCAGGACCAATGCTGCATTTAAAGATGAGTCCCAGATTGACCGAGCTTTTCTCGGACTGCATACACTTTTTAAAATTTTCAAGGTTTGTGTATCAAATAATAGTCAATTGGATAGCTTTAATTTAAAAAAATTGTTTGTAATATTGGGCACGTTCAGAAGGCGCAACAGCTCAGTAACTGTTGCCATTGCATCTTCTGAACGCGTTGTTGTTTACTTCTGATCAACTGAACATTTGCGTGTTAGATGATCGTAATATTTTTCTGATTATTTGAGACAACATGTTGTTGAGAGTTGAATTTGACAGCTAATGCATCAAGCAGTTCAGAAGACGCATAACGAACACTGATTTCTTTAGCAACGGTTGCGCTCAACTGCGGCGCCTTCTGAACCTACCCATTGTAAATGGAATTTATTATTGAAATATGAAAAGTAAAAGTCAAAAGTACGTACATGGCGTATGAGTTACCCAGACGAGATGAGAATGTTACTCATACGCCATGTACTTACGTTTGATTTTAACTTTTCATTGATAAATGGCAAATCAAATATATCCATTTTGAATTTTTAAAATCTGATTCCAGATTCACAATCAGCGACCTCAAAAACCCCTATTTGTAAATTTTTAAGCGAATCAAATCGGTTTAAATTGTCTTGTCCACCATATTGACTCCGCCATTTTCAATTTTTGCCAATCTGGCTTCAGATTCGTAATCAGCGACCCCGAAAACTTTGGAATAAGCTTTTTCTCACATTTCCATTGCCTGTGGAGGGGCGACCGCTTTTAGAAAAATCGTTTTTAATTGAAACTGCTTTGCGTTCAGTTGGGAGCATGACACATTCAACAAGGTAAAAGTGATTGTCAAACCTTAACCCTTAATAACCTAGCTTACAGCAAAAATGCACACTGGGTGCTACTTTCCAATTGATATGTAGAATTGCAAGCTGATTCCGAAAATCAAGTTAATTTTTTTTTCTATGGATAAGTTTTGGAGCTATTTGCAAGCTACCGTTATTCAGCTAAAAAAAAAATTGGTCCACTTAATCATGTATTTTAATTAGAATTTCTAAATTAATTTTTGGTATGCAGTTTTATAGCTTATTTAAATCCACTATAATTAAGTGACAGTTTGGAGTTGCTAAAAAATCGCATTGATTTTTTATAATTTTTTTTTTTCTGATGTTGTTATGCACTCTTTTTTCCATATTTATTTACTTTATAAAAGACTTACAATGATTATATAAACCATAAAACACAGCGCTAGCAGCAGAGGCTTTCGGCTATTCCATATAAAAAATAACTTTGTATGGAAAAAAATTCGTGATACCCTCAGAAAAAAAAATTGAAAAATCAACGCAATTTTTTTTTTGAAATTTCAAATTTGCACTTTATTGTACTAGAATTGAATAAGCTATAAAACTGCATACCAAGAATTAATGTAGAAACTAAAATTAAAATGCTTGGAATTAGAGTGGAAAGTTTGTGGAATTTTTACAATTTGTGAACAAAGCCTAAAATTTGGAGTTAAGGAGGTATACTTTTATATAAAAATAGTGAACATTACACAAACAAAAGATATGTGAATAGTCGAAAATGTTCAAAATGTTGAAGAACTATCGTTTTGTCGCGGGCTGTACACACAAAATTTGCTCAAAAATTTCGTTTAGTTAGGACAGACAGTCTTTCATGTAAAATTAATAATACATAAGTTAGTTAGTTTGGTGAAAGATTTTTATTTACAAATTTTAGTTCTTGGTAAGTACTATCTACACATTTTCATGCTCGTAACTGCTGTTGTGTTGTTCGAAAACCCTGGTCAATCGTGTGCGAAGAAATTTCATTGATGAAAGTAGGTCTTGACTTCCGTTCGTTTTTCGGAAATTTCCAAATCCACCAACAGCGGGCATTCGTTATATAAAATCAGTCGAACCGATTTGTCTACCTGCGCGCAATGTAACAAGTGCAGCACGCGCAGGCGCGGCAAAGATTTTGCTATGCAAAAGAGCGCATTGCGACCCAAAGTCGGGCAAAAGGTGATAATCAACTCCTCGAGTAGTGGGCATTGTTTTACCAAAACTTCAATACCGCGATCAGTATATAAGCCACGTCCAAAGCTTAGGCTACGCAGGTGAGGAAACTTTAGTGTCTCCAACAACTCATCGTCGTTTAGCTGTTGACACGATTTCAAATTCAACTTTTCCAACCGCCGCAAACGTCGAATCGGATATGGATGGTGGGCGGTGCCGGTAAGTGCCTCAATGTTAAAATCATTGTTGCCACTCAGATCCAGCTCACGCAATTGCGTTGAGTGTTTAAAAATTGCAGCCAGCGATCTATTGGTAACTGCATGCTTACAATATCTCAGCACTAAAACTTCTAAATGCACCAAATTGGATGCTATACAGCACAGCTCATCTTCCTCTAGAAGCCGTGTGTAACTCAATATGAGTTTCTTCAAGTTATGGCAACACTCGCTTATCACGTGCGTGCCGGTTATGTGTTTGGGTAAATAGAAATTAAAAAAAGCCAAGTGCTCCAGCGTTTTGGCGCATGACTCCAATAGCTTGAAAATATTTGGATTTACCGGCCGCAGGCAATCCACTTCCAGGTAACGCAGTGGTAGCCCTTGCAAACACTGAAGCGTTCCCTCAAATATCTGCGTATTGCAGGCATAAATTTTAACTTTCTGCAGCTTTTTTAGTTGGCCGAATGCCTCCACCCATTTTGTTGTGAGCGAAGCGGGTTCATTCATTGATTCAAAGTAGACAACATGAAGGCTTTTCAAAGTTTCCGCATGATCCTTCAGCACCGACAGGAAAAGCTCGGCATGCTCAGCATAAACACGTATACTCAATTCCTCTAGCTGCGTCGTCGTATTCTCGCGTAGGCATGTAGTGAGTAGGGCTTCGGATGAGCTCTGTTTCACCGAGTCGTCCACAAAATGAATGCCTTTCAAATTGCCAAACGCATTCAATTCGAATGGCACCTGCGCAGGGAATACATACACACCCTCAAGCACCAGTCGTTCAAGATTCGGGAAGCACGCATATAAGCTGTTTTGTTCGAAGAATGCTTTCAACTTTAAACTTCGCACATCAGCGCCAATGCTTTGGAGTATGAATTGCAATTCATTAAGCTGTGCGCTGTCGGCGCCCACATATTCCACGTGACTGTACACCATTCCGGATGCGAAATGCCTTGTTTGTGCTAGTTGCTTCCAAATATCTATCACATTATCCTGCTTGATGCGCAAACTAAATTTGTTCGAAAAGCGCTTGCGTGCGATAGCTTCCATCCAAAGGCGGCAGACTAACCGTGCCTGCGTTAAGTCCGTGTAAGGCAGGTAGGAGAAAATGTTTATCAGGATTTCGTTGTGCAGCTGGGGTAGTGGCTCATCGCGTAGTTGAAATGTTTCTACATATGCAATAGATAAATAGCTTTATTAGTCTTTTTCTTGCTAGTATTAAACCACTTATTTATGTGTATTATACCATTTCTGCAGGGGTCCTCTTCCCGGTAAACGGATGCTTCGCTGCCTATATCCATTTCCCAGTTATTGGCCATATTTAGTATGATTTCAAAATGTTACTAGCCTGTAAAAACAATAAATAAAAATGCTTGAGCTGACACTTCGATTGGCGTTTGTACTTTATATCGCTAGATGTAATTTATTAAATTTAATAAGGTTTAGAATTTCTCTTCGAATTCCGTAGAAAGATTTGCTAGAGATGTGCACTGTGACCTTGGGTATATTCTACCAGTAAGTAAAAACTTCACACTTTGTATAGGATTTATAAAAATTTCGTCGAATTTCAAAAATTATTCACCAAAATGTCAAACTTTTTATTCCGAGTTTTTTTAAATTCTATATACCCAGTTTTGCAGTCCATTAAATAATAATAAAGTGGTAAAGTAAAGGACTACACAACATCAAAAATTCTGATTTTTATAAATTTTTTATGAAACTTTGTCGAATTTTCCAACTCTTTGTACAAAGTTTAAATTTTGAACTTACCTGGTTTTATGTATTATTTATCAATATACTGCGGATGTTTATGCAGAAGATAGAAGCCCAAAAAAATGTAACACTTAACTATAAGCAAAATAAATAAATTTGTATACAATTTGCTTATAGTTACGGCGACCATTCGTACCGAATTCGACGGGACAGTACCGTATTTGAGAAAGTTGTCCCGCTGAATATTTTTTGAAAGTCGGGACGTATAAGTATGCCGATTTTTCATATTTGTAACGATTAAATTCCGATTTACAGTGTTTTATTTATTAATTTGAAACGACAAATTTTTCGGACAAATGTGGCAGCACTTTCGTTACCACGAAGAACTAAGAATATAAGGGAGCCTTAAACATAGCCAAGCATCCTTAGTTTCTATGATCTTTGGCTTTGGTCTTTCAAACTGGTACTCTCGCTGTATTGCTGTCTATCAGTTTAGCTTAAATTTGTTAAGGTTTTTGTAATTATTTGTTATGTTTTTTGTTCTCTTTAAATAAAAAGATACTAACTTGAATTCAATGAAATTTATAGTTTTATAATACTTATCTCCGCAAAAAATGGATATGAAAAATATAAGCTATATATTTAAAATATATACATACTTTACTTTGGCAAAACCTCGTATCTCAGAAGTAACGATCATTTTCAAGCTTTTTCTCTTTGTTTTGTTTTAGATAAATCCGTATTATTTTTTATTCTAAAACAAAATTTTATGTTCGGATTCGATAATTTAGCAATGTCCCGATTTTTGTGCACAGAAATCTGGTCTTCGTATTTATAGTTATACTGGTACATATTTTTTGGTTTCGGTTTCTGCATAAACATCCGTAGTCTATTTATCAAGAATTGGCATTCTAGCACAGAAATCAAAAGCTCGTTTCTTAATAAATTATCAAAAATTAAAATTTTATTGACAAGCGTATACAAATTATGTAATAAAAAATTTTTTCTATCATTTAAATACTGCATGTGGCGGCATTTGAACCTACGATCCACGCAATTGTAGTCGCCATCTTGGCTACGGCAGTCAAAAGCTTTTTTATTTTTATATTCATATCAAGGCACATTAAACAGCTAGTATCAGTAGAGCAAAAACAACATTTACGTGTATTTTGTTGCTGCTTCTGGTATCGAAAGTGTCAAAAACTGTTCTGAATTTTTTCTTCTAAATCAAAGCGTGCCATGTGAAATACAAAAAATTATAAAAAATAAAAAATTGAAATTGGAAAAAATAGAAACTGATGCAACTTTCTTTCCCAGTAAATTTGTTTGCTTCTCGAAGCATTGATCCATCCTTTGCAAGGCCCAGTAATCAGCGGTCGTGCTGCCGAGTTGGGCGAACGTTCCAAAAGCTGCTATTCAATCGCTTGTTTTGTAAGGAAAAAGGTTTCACATGCAAATGGATTTTAACAATTCAGAATTTTTGTGAGAAAAAATTAAAAATATTTGACATTTTCGAGACCAAATAATTTGACAAAAAATCAAATCAGCTGCACTACTGATACTACCTGTTCAATGTACCTTGATTCATATGGTTCGCATATTTACTTGTATTTCTTCAAGAAAATTTACAGCAAAAGCAAAGTACTTTTTAAAACAAAATCAATAATGAAAAATATTTCTTGTGATCTTTTTTGAGAGCTGCAAACAGCCCTTTACTTTGAAAACATTAACTTTAAAGCATTTTTTCTAGCTTTTATTTGAGTTATGACGTTTTTTCGGCAAGTGAGTGGTTTGTATGTTCTTCGCGCTTCTCAATAGCTCTAGTAACCGTCACAAGCTACATATTTATCTCTTACGAACTGGAGATATTAAATACGTAGCAATATTTACATATTAAAATTTGTTCTCTTATTTTCATCATTTCAATCAGCGTTGCCGCGAGCTCGAAAAAAAAAGTATCAGTTGTTGAGCAGAAAAAGTATCAAAAACAAGCAAAACTGTTACTTGTTAAACTTTATTTGAAAAACAAGGTATTAAAATTTTATAATTAATTCCATAGTTACAAAAAAAAATATATATATTACTTGCTTTAACAAAATCATAGAATAGTTTTTTCTACGCTTGCTCCATATTTTACAGCACGATTTGGACAACAAAATCAAAACTTGACTAAAAATTCCGCAGTTGTCGCCATACGCAGCTCAAATTATTGTACAATAAATAACACAAGCATGAGCAAAATATCAAAATGATTTTGATTTTAGCGCAATAACTGTGCAATTTAGTACAAACAACCCCACACTCCACACAAACGACCGACGCAAGCCCCACATTGCGTAGTGTTTTTGTGTGGTTTGGCGGCGTGTGCAAAGAAATTCCGGGTTGTTTTTCCCTTAGAAGAGTTACCAAATCAAACTTATAAATATCTAGAACTATATAAATTGTAACACTTTAAATAACAAGAATGAAATTCTTTGCCTTTAAACTAGTAATATTATTCATAGTTTTCAAAAATTAATTTCTGCCAGCCAAAAGTATAAAAATAGGGCATTTGTGAACAAAAAAGTATCAAAGTATCAAATCTTACAATTTAGAAAAAAAAGTATCAAAAATTATACAATTGTATCAAAACGGCAACGCTGATTGTAATATATATGGATACTAATTAGAGCATTCAATCCCCAAGCATTTTAACAATCCCGGGATTTCGGGATCCCGAGATTTTTCGGGATTTCGACTTCATCACAACTTTTTGCATTTTACAGTAGGTTCGCCTTTTTCAAACCACACAGATTCATATGCACCACATTTGGTATTAGGGGACCATAGTGCCCTTTAGTAAAAGAGTATGTAATTTTACGTTTCAATATTTTTTTTTTTTAATATCATTTTGTTGACAAGTAAACATTAACTCATATTTGCAGAAATCCTTTTCCAAAAAAGTCGAACAAAGTAAAATGCAGAACAACTCCGCCATACTGTAAAAGCTTGTTGTAGAAAAAATTTTTTTGATGAATGGAAGTACCTAACGTTGTAACAAATTTTGCTTATATTATTTAATAAAAAAATGTTTAACCTGCTCCGAAAATTTCATTTTTGCTCCGATTTTTCGAGTCATTTGCCCCCGAATCGAGTTTCAGTAGTCCGAACGCTGACATGCGCATTAAATTGAAAGAGAAAGAAGAGTATAATGGTGTAGAACGCTTGGTTTGGCGCTGCCAGGTGGCTGTTTGGATACGCTTCAGTATGTATACACATATATGTATTTTTCATTCATACGTGTATGGACAGCATACTGGGGAGCACGCTTTCAGAGCTTTTGAGGAGAGCCGAAATTTGAGATATTTTATGTGGAGATACATAGATATGTACATATGCATGTATGTACGTTAGGGTGGTTCAAAAGTCCACCGCAAAGTTAACTTTTTGGAATTTTCTTGCTGCCTCTTAAATTTTAATTAACTAACTCTTAAATTTTATTTAAATTAATTAACTCTTAAATTTTACTAAATATTTTTTCAAAACGTGTGTGATATAGTTACAAACACATAAACTTACTATATTTTGTAAATAAAATAAGAGAATATCGGTTACATAACAAATAGTTAGTAAAATTTTAAAATTATCACACTTGACTTTAAAATTTTACTATATATGTACATACTTTTTCATAGCCAATAACTTCATCTCCTACACACGTATATACAAAAATTTGTTGTTTTATGTGTTCGTGACCAGATCGCGTACGTTTTGGATAAAACAGTTAGTATGTTACGATTCTATTGTTTGCATATATCTTAAAAGAAATATTTTTATTCGAACCAAATATAGTAATTGTTAACGATTTTTAAGCGATTCTACAAAACAATTTATTTTCCCCACATGAAGTACATATATATGTATATAGAAAACTTCAAAGCCACTGCGGCATGCTTAAATGTTAACCGAAATAAAAAGCAGGATGTCTTCTTATTTTCGATATTCTTAAGATCTTGGGGGTGGTTGGAAAATAAGTTGGACCACCCTAATGTACATACATATGTATGTACATAAGCACTTAAGTAAAATTACGTATCTGTGTCAATGTGAAAGTCTGCGCTACACGCAAATCCACTAGCATAATATTTAATGCATATTTCTGTCAAAAATATTTACGCTTACCACTTTTATTAAATAAATTATAAATAAACTTTAGCTGATGATTACCTCCAACAAACAAATCCGTTTCTTATCAATGTCTGACGCGTCGGCAAGGTAACATTCAATAACAATTTCGAAATGTTGCGCTTCTCTTGGACCTGCTGCGGTTTTAATCCAGTCAAATTGTATTGGAAATCTTTTTTTTTTTTAGTACTATTTTCAAATTTTTCACATTTTATTTCACTTAAACCATTATTCGCCAACCGATTTATATTTTTGTTATTGTTGCACTTTGTTTTTATTTCCTTCACTCTCCACCGCTATTGAAACGAACACCGACTGAGTCTGCAGTCAAAGCGCTATAAAAACAAAAACACCACCGGCTAGCGTAAATAAAAGCGAGCGTAAGAAAAGTATCCACATGTTCTCTCAAAAATTGTATAGCTACGAGTACTTGTGTATGTACAGATGTTTTTCACCTACCATCGCGCAACCATGGTGTTGTTGTTTGGGCACTTTGAGGCGCAGCACAACTCGTTTTCCCACACATTGCACAGTGAGCATGTTATTGTTCTTAACCAAATAAAATCGAGGTGAATTTATTCAAGTGAAATTCTATGTACGTATGTACATACACGAATAGTGGTAATGAAATGCTCAGTGCATTAAAAATTTAGTGCAGCGTACCCAACCCTGATACGTAAATACACCCTGTGTCATAACCACAGTAAGTAAATGGTCAAGAAATAAATTACTATTATTTTGTGTGTGTAAATTAGGAATATTAATCTCCGGATGCCGGGATCCCGGCCTTTTTATGTTCCCAAAAATCCCGGTATTTTCGGGATTTGTAATTTGAACTGATGGCAATAATAGAAACTCCTTTCTTGACCAGTATTGGCTATATTTCTTTTTACCTCCCTTTTATTAGCTCGGGATGTAACTATGTAATATTGATGCGCCTAAAAGATGCAGCGATTTCTATTCTCAAGTTACATACCTGATGACAGTAGGAATGGAAATTATAATAGCGAGGTTTTAGTTTTTTAAACTATAATTTTATTTTATTTAATACATATGTAATTAATATTTTTGAAGTGAAAGTTCTTTAGCGGCGGTTTGTTGGTTGGGAGTAAATTGGCAAATTCAACAGAAATTGCACACGGAAATGGCGCAACGGAAATGGTTGGGGCTGAAATAAGTGCTTCTGGTGTGTATGCATATGGTATTAATTTAACAAAAAGTTGCTAATAAAAGGTCAATGAACAACACTTAGACCAATGCAAGAATGAAAGTAAAGGTGACTACGTACATAGATAAAGAAAATGATAAAGGCAAAGGTAAAAATAAAAACAAAAACAAAGATGCGTAAAGATAAAGGCAAAAATGAAGACCAAGGTAAATTTAAACACTTCAATTATATATATATAAGAGCAAAGGTGAAGGGGAATATGTAGATAAAGATAATGATAAACATAAAAGTAAGTAGACAAAGTGGGGGGATGAGGATTCTGATAAAAACAAAGATGAAGATAGGGGAATAAAGATTAAAAGGAAAGAGTATAGAGAGAGACACAGAGACTCAATCTGGGGACTATTTTGCCATTTTAGAGATTTTCGGGACTTATCGATAAAATCGCTAATATTGTTATCAATTTTGCTATCGATATTTTCGGAACTTTTCAATGTAATAATCGATATTTTTATCGATTTTATTATCGATATTTTCATCGATTTTGTAATCGATGGTTTTAACTATTTTGTTAGCGATTTTTATATCGAATTTTTTATCGATATTTATCGATTTTATTGTCGATATTTATCGAGTTTGTTATCGATATTTATTGATTTTATTAACGATATTTATCGATTTTGTTATCGATATTTATCGTTTTTTTATCGACATTTATCGATTTTTGTATCGATATTTGTCGATTTTGTTATCGATATTTATCGATTTTGTTATCGATATTCATCGATTTTGTTATCGATATTTTTCGATTTTATTAAAAAAAATTTAAATTAGGCAAGAACCATGCCTTTCTCCCATATAACGGTAATTTGCAAAAATACGAAAACTGCGATAAAATAATAACTGCTTAAACTAATTCACTCAAAATTCATCAAATGCGATGACCTTTTAGCAGAAAACAATACTAAATGACATTTTTGGAAAATGGGCATGGTACGGCTCACTTACGTGGCACCGCTTGCATGCGTATGTGCATTTCGGTAACCGATTTATAAACTTCTACCAAACTTATTACAGTTATTAACACTGGCGCAAATAAGCTATATAACGGTATATTACCACAATCTTTCAACAAGAAACCAGATTAAAGATTTTTTGGAAAATGGTATATCGAAGCTTTACTCCAATTACTTCAATATATCATAGCATATAATCAAAACTATTTGAAATCGGGAAAAACACTCTTGGTTATCATACAGTTTACCGAAAGATGAAAAAACGACGTAACTATGGTTTCATAGAGAGAGGCTTTGCATCCTACCCATTTCCCTCATGCAGCAGTATAGAGCTTCCGCGAGAGCTTCCTATTTAGAACCAAGCCAAAGTACTGGACTCTATTATAAAGCGCCATGCGGACGCCTCCGATAGAGAGTAGAGTCCCATTGGGAGGAGTTCCGTCTTACCAGGAATTAATAATAACACTATATGGCAAAATCAACTTTTTTTGGACCAAACAAATTCTTTTCAAGAGGTAGAGTCTTAAGTAAAAAAGTAATTTCTCCGTTTTTCGAAGTTAGCCTCCGTAATCGAGATACGGGCCTTTTAAGCATTGTATGTAAATAACGTAAAAAGTAAAAGTGTAGACGTAGTCCGCCTTTTGCTCTTATTTAAATAGTTTTACCTTTTTAGTTGTAAACATACAATTTTGTGTGCGCCTATGAAATAATAGTACGCACCTCTAACCACTTAGCCACAGCTTCGACCAGAACTTTCAACGGGTCTATTGTTATTTGTAGCCCACTGAATTATATGTTGAGGTATGCATAGGTCAGATCCAAGGGCTGTCCAGAAATTTGCCACTCACTGCAGCGTTAGCCGTATAGACAATTACCCAGCAAGCGGTATGTTAACTGACATGTTTTCGAATGCTTGTCTAGGGATCTTACGTTTGTCCCAGAAGGTAGCTACTGTTAAGTGTTTAAAACTAGAAGCATTGCTTATGGCGATCACAAGCGACCTAGCCTAGATGTACGCGGGGTGAACTCCTGAAGGGCGATCGCGAATAATTCTATGTAATATGCAGATCACTGGAAGAGATACTGGTTGGTCTAAAATGGTTGGGTGAATATGAGAACTTTTGCCGGAGTTAAGCCAATGACATAAACCCTTCAAATCCTTTTGCAGCTTTGCAGGTGTAATGTTGTCAGGTCCTACGAACTTGCAGTGCTTGCGAGAGTGTAACGGCCAAGCAATTCAAACCTTTTTCAACAGGTTACTCAACACGACGCCAAAGTTTCCCGCACTGGGACAGGGTTGTATGGAAAATGTGTATAAATGAGAATCTACACATTGTCCAAATTCCCGCCATGACACTCAAATATCCCAAATGAGGAGAGTTAGTCACAAATTTTCATTTCAACCAGCAAGCAGTTCTCAGCAGAGCCGATTGCTGTGAATACATATCATAATCGGCGCCCAATCTTCACCATTTGCAAACAGACAGCCAGAGATGCCATCTCTTTATGTACCAACTCAGCTAAGTACTATTCAGCGTTGCTTTAAACCGACCACGTAGAAACTGTGCATCCCTTGCTTCTGGCCTTTATTATATAATTGTTTAATAATAAAACACATATTTTTATAATTCACCGTAAAAAATAGCACATTGCCAAACTCTCCTTAATTACATCTTAGCTAAATTGGGCATTAGTACGAAAATTACTAACACTTCAATAACGCCTTGAACTTGAGCTATATATCTACATACATGCATATCAACGTATATTTCTATGGATATGTGCAGCTTAAAGGCATGTAAATATTTCATAATTTCCGCATAGCTTCACTCAAAGTCACAAACACCGAGGTTAAGTGCCACATTTTGTTAAGCGCCTTCAAGTTATGAAAGCGAACACCAGGAACAAAAGTGTAAAGGAATAAAGAAGTATTTTTAAATAGCCTAAAATATTCAAATACCCCCCTTGCGCCCAGGCATGATTTCTTTAATTTGCATTCAAAAGAATGCGCTTAAACGCAGCTACACACGTACGCATGGATACGTCGCCCCCTCCCCCACGCATTTTCCAAGGAAGGACCAAGCCTAAGGACTATTAACGTAGAATTTAAAGAGTTCTATATAATAGCAGTATAGCCGAATGGTATACCTAGTCATCGATGGCGCTCTTAACAATATCTTGCCCTCAGTAAAAAGAACTCTGTCGGATCTAGGCATTGACCATCCGATTGGTGGCGCATGTAGGCCAAATGTTGGAATCCAGAGCAGCTCAGGTTTATATTCCGGGAATAGCGACGAGAAGATTTGTCAACTGGGATGCCCACAAGGTGGAGTCCTATCTTTTCTCCTATGGGTCTTGGAAATAAATATGCTGCTGAGAAACATTGAGGAAGAGAGGGGTTGCAATATCAACTGCGAATGTTGGCGACCTTATAAGAGGCATAAGTGTACTGTGCAGTGATATTCCGGTTAAACTAAGGAGGTCCAACAACGGCTTGAGGGTGTAACGAAGGTTGTATTATTTACTAGTTGGTACAATATTCCACCATTGAAGGCACTGAATCTGTGGAATATTGAACTTAGCAGTAATTATTCTACTTAAAAGCTGGGACTCACACTGGATTAGAAACTAAACTGCCCACTAATCACATTTGAGCGTATGCGGAAAGCTAGGGCAGGCCTCTACATCAGTAAAGGCACAATCGGTACATTGACCAGCCTATATTTTTATACGGATTAGTGATCCGGTGACATATTTTGACTAAGAAAGAATTATACTAAAAAAGGCACAACTGTAGATTAGCGGACCTTTGCGCACAACGCTCACGGAAATTATTAATTTTCTGCTAAACATACTGCTTATACTGCTATGCGAGTGCGAAGTGTAGTTGATGTAGCAATCGGACACAATAATATCTTAGTAAATCGGAAAACAAAAATAAATTTGCCGCAGAAGAGTCAATGTGATGGCAGAGCAGTTTACTCATTACCGGAAAACTTTTCAAAATTTGGTTGAAGAACGTCCTATTTTCAGGTATCGATACTTTCTTCTGCCGAGGACAAAAGTGTGTGTTGTCCCCAGGTGTGACACAGAGGTATACCAAGCACTAAAAAGGTGAGCGAGCTTCCACTTTCGCCGTCTTAGTGGGGCTCTTCACCTTAAATATTCTTCTTCTGAAAAGCAAGTTCAAGACGGAACTAAATACTTGCAACATTAATAAGGTGGGTCAAAATGAGACTTACAAAGATGGAGGAACCTGCTTATGCTGAGCAGACAAGAAATTTGCTTGTTCATGGGTCTGTTAACAGGACGTATCCTTTTGAGAAAAGTACGCGGAGAGGCTCGTGATATCTTATGAGGTCATCTGCTGGAGCTGCAGGAACGAGGAAGTTGCTGAATCCGTAAGGTACTTCCCTTGCGAAAATTTCGCACTTTAGTAGAGGAAAGTGACGTTCATGGTTGCTGAAACATTTGGGGACCAGAAATATTAGCTTTTTTATAAGGAATTTCCGTCATCGTGCGGCTCACGAAAAACGACACTAAAGATGGCTCAACACCGAAACCAGTTTGTCTATCAGACCAATTGTAGCAGTTAACCGCGAATACACCGATTGGCGATGTCAAGGATTGGACATCAATCAGTGTCCGAGTGTGTTTACCTCTTATTGAAACAAAGTTTGTTTTAAGTCCATTTTTAGTCAAAGATATGAATTTTTAAGAAAATATGTACATATGTACGTTTATATGTGCATACGAGTATGTAGTACATTACGCAGTGAATACTAAAGACGTACGGAATATTTGAACTCTTTTACACCGACTAAAATACTGGTTGCATTTGTAAAATTTAATTTCAAAATTGGTTTCAACAGTCCAATGTCCAAAGCGAATATTTAAGTAATTGAATATGCATTTTTATACTTACATATGTACATACATATGTATGCATGTACGTGCACACGTGTATGTGATATAACCGTATCGTAAGTGTATCGGCGAAATGTCAATAAGGATTTGCGTAATCAATGCAAATGCGATTCGATAATTGATTGAATGTTAGATTGTAAGTCAATTATTTGATTGCTTTGAAATGATAAGTGATTTCAAAACCGAAATCGGTCTTCAATGTCAAGACCGTATTGGCAGTAATTACTATAGCTGCGTAGCGGACGTCAAGGATTGGAATACGTATACAAAAGTTTTTAACGCAAATTCAATAGTAGCAATGTTATCCGGGTAGTTATCTGCATAACCATGGTATTGAAAAATTCTCGTAAGAACTTACTCAGAGTAAAATATGGTTTATAAGAATTGAGAAGATTTAAGATTTATGATTTATGTGAAAATTCGTATTGATTTTTTAATAAGAGTATCTCCTTTAAATATTTAGGCATAAATACCTATTGTTTCATCTTTCACAATTCAATTTACAGAAATTGATTTGCTTAACAAAGCGTTCGTCGACTTCGTGGGCAGGGCGGCTAAAGCTTAACTTACGGCCAGACTTAGGGACCCAGTGCTCAGCTTACTTAGTATTTGGACATTCTGGTATTCTTGCAGCCTTTTACGTTGGCTCTGGTAATACGGATAATTGCGTGGTGGCTAGAATGGCACCAATGTGCTCTTGCTCCACCCACGTGCAAACAAGGGATAAGTGGAACGGGGATAAAAGTAAAAAGAAGGCTTCGGTAAATTTCACGGATAAATCGAAGCATGACGGAAAAGTTGAAGGAGAGCGCATTCAACCTGATATTTAGACTTGCAGATCACTGTAGTAAGTGTTTTCCAAGTAGCAATCTTTCAGGAAGTAGTCGATTAGCTGCTCAATTGCGAGACGTATTAAAGTAATGCTGGAAAATATCTACTCTTGTAGTCAAGCGACACTCAATGCCTGACCTTCCTTTCAGTTGCCTCTGATTATTTCATTAGTAAGTATGTAGGTACATTTCGGATGAGATGACCGTTAAAGGCATCCTCTTTTCAGTATGACCGAGAAAAGAGAAAGTCGGAATACCTTTAAGTACATGCGATTGATCTCCAATAGAACGGCCTCCTGTCAGCTTAGAAACCGCTGGACGAAAACGAGAACATTTGCAACTGAATAGTCTTTCTGGCTGAAGGTGGAATGAAGGCGGTCAAGGGATCTTGGACTCACAAAGCCGCAACTCTTGATGACTGTATTGATAGAATCCCTTCCAATGGGTGACAAAACAATAAGCTGTCCACCTTTTGCGAAGCTGCGGTCTAACAAATATTTGTTCAAGGTATTGCTTGTTTGAAGCTATTTCTAACTGTACCTACTTGCTTCCGTTGCAACCCACAAGAGATCATTCAATATACTCATTAAGTTAATCAAATCTCTGCGAGGTGCAAACTGGACAACGAAAACGAAACTCTTACAAATGTTATGTGGAGCTTATGTAGTATAACTTTCTTAACAAATAATTACATATCCCCAACCAATAAGAACTTAAATGTACACCGAAGTGCGCCAGTGCTAACTTCAAGTCGTTGTTGCTCAAACCACCAGTGTGTTTCCAATTCAAACAACATGTTTAATGCACACAAAGCGACATATTTGGGAATTTTTGCAAATATACAAACAAACACGCCAACTCGCATACCATATGAAGTGGTAAAAACTGAATTTATTATTACGGCATAAACTTAACACATTAACGAAAGTGCACTCCTCGTACTTAGCGACAGAAACGAACTATGCTTGGCTAGCCACATGCAAGTGAACTTTCATACATACATACATATAGGTTCTTGCATGTGTATGTTTATGTAATTGCCATGAATTGCCTCACATCTATTTAGTAGGCGTACATACATACATATGTATGCAGTTATGTGCCTGCGATGGGAGCATACACAAAGCATTTGATTTTGACCGTCTCATGGCACTCACTTTTACAATCCCCAAGAATTTCATTGAGAATGAAATGCAAAAAGGCGTATTAACATACTGACACTGTAATGGAACATGGACACACACAAAATAAAACAAAGCAAAAAAAAAAACAAAAACGACAACTCAAACAAAAAACCTCTAGAAATTGAATAACTGTGCACTCATCTATGCATATGCATGTACGAGTATGTATTTATGTAGAACTTTACTAACTGCGCTAACTGTTGGTTGGTAAAATGGTTTAAGCCTACTTTCAGGCGCACATATCCTGCGGCCCACATTTTACTGCTTTCACCAATTTCCCGTGCTATGTCAGTCAGCGCTTAAAAGGCGGCAAGATATTGTACACTAATCTCACATACTTTAAGTGCATATGTATATGTATGTATTAGGGTGGTCCAAAATAAGTAAAGTCGGAGTTCTAATGCTCTCACCCCCTAGGATTGTTCTACATCGAGAAAATATTCCCCTATTTTTTATTTTGCAATCAAAAAAAAGTTAGAGGTAGCTCAAAGCGCTCAAAGTTTTCCATGTATTTTATATATAATAAACATTTTTTCGATCGTAAAACGCTGGATCTCTCCAGGAGCCTTCCATCAACAATTCCCATTTGTTTATTCAACCATTTTTTAAAACTAAAGATATTTTATTCTCCCACCCCAACCCGCTGCTCTGAGCGACCTTTAAATACTTCTTGATTTCAAAATAAAAAGTAGGGATTTATTTTTTCAGTATAGAACAATCCAAAGGTGTATGAGCATAAAAATTACGATTTTACTTTTTCACGCACATTTTTGGAACACACTAATGTATACATACTTATACATGTACCTAAATATGCACGAACAAAAACGGGCAAACCAGCCTTGTTTTGACCAGAGTTAGTCGCTGCTAGTAGACTATACTAGCACTTAGTCGAGACTTGTAATCCATCGCGAATGGACGTATCGGTGGGCGATTTCGGTGATTTAGTAAAGTTTCTATAGGCATTTTGTTGGTGCAAAATTGACAAATCTCATTTTGGTTGTTAAAAAAAAAAAAAACGGTTATTTGATTAGGGGTTAAAATTTATTATACTCCTCTTGGAAGTTAAGTGAGTGGTTGCCTGCAGTGTTGTGATTGTATTTAGTGAAAAAAAGGTTGAATTTAGATACAACTCTTTAAAGGATTACAAAAAATTGGTAAGTGTTTAAAAACTAAAAAAAAAAAATTTTTATAAAATTTATCAGTAAGAAACTTTTGCATACAATTACCATTTTCTATTGCAAAGTTTTGCCAGCTTTTTGCACCAGTTGTAAAAAGAGTCCTTCTGCCCTGAGTTCTTCCATCGTCTTCGTGGGTGCCCTGGCAATCGTTGTCCACACATGGGAGCGGAGTCGAAGGATATTCTCACTGATGCACCTATTACACGTAACGTTTGTGCTTCACCATGCCCATGTCATTATTAAAGCGCCTCTCACACGAACATACAGGGCGAAAGATACACACAAAGTTCCACGGTCTTCTCATTTTTGTTCGTCACCATCGATCTTTCAGCTGTGGGCAAGCGTTAATCTTCGCCCATGAAGCAAGGGCTTAATATAGTAAACCGGCGTTTTTAGTTTTTCTCTCTGACCTTTTTTAAAAGGACTTTGAAATTTGAAAGAAATTATTAGTTCATTTTTTTTTTTAATATGTATACCAAATATTTAGCGGGATTAACTAGGTTTTCCCAAACCAATTTCAACCGGGTTTTTTAGGCATTTTTTTAGCTTTGATTTTTCGAATACCGAGTAAACCGGATCTATTAATTTAATAAATAAGATAGCTTGAAAGACTTTTATTATTCTAGCACAAAAGTCTAAGAAAGTCTAAGAAAAAAAGCTCTTATTTTGAGAGAAAGCACTTGTACTTCATTTAGCCCACCTCGCTTCAACAGTTGTAATGGCCGACTGAGCAAAGCACACAACGCGTTCGAGAGATCTTTTTTAATTCATTTTTTTTTCTTTCTTAATTTTTAGAGGTTATAGCCCAATTCTGTATCGGTGACAAACATTTTTTTACTGCCAAATTTAAACTTTTTTCATATATTTTTCCGTAATAAAAACTGTAACAAGAATTCTTTTAAAAGAAAAAATACATATAAAGCTTCTAATTTCATTTACTTTTTAAAACTTATTTTAAGTACTTTCTATTTTTTAATATGACTTTAATTTTCTTAATTTAATTTTCTTTTAATTTTCAGATGTTATTGTTAAAAAAGGAAAAAATTATTTTTAAATTTAATTTAGTTTTTAGAAGCTTAGTTTATTTGTTTTTCGCTGGCTAATTTCATTTTCTTTAAAATTATTATTTTAAATTTTTATTTTCGGCCTTATAACAATTATATTCAACAATTTTAGTGAGCTTTAGGCCGTTTTCAACAAAATGTTTTGTGAAAAAACCCACAATTTACATTTTTGGTAGAGGTTATAGCTATTTCGGAAGATCACCACAAAAATTTTTAAATGTTATTGTCAAAAAATATATTTAAAAAAAATTAATATTTATTATTTAGGATCTTATTTGATTTTCTTAATTTTCTTTTAATTTTTAGATTTTGTTTTAAAAATATAAATATTTAATTTTTTTTTTTTTAAGTACTATTTTCTTGTTTGATTTATTTTTTTCCAATTTAATATTAGATTTGATTGCTTTAAAGAGCAAAAAAAAATATGGCATTTAGTTTTAAAAACTGATTTTTATTTATTTTTGCTTTATTTTCATTTTAGTCATTTATTTTCCTTTTTAATTTAATTTTCTTTTATTTATTAGTTTGTTTGTTTTAAAATGAAAAATGGCTGTTTTAAAAAGAAACATTTTATATTTTTTTTAATTTGCTATAATTTTGAAAAATAACGTATTGGTAAAATGCAAGCAGCATAACGCTAATACCTCCTCGTTAGCACACCTTTCAATTAGACTTTCAAAAGACAGTAAAAAGCTTTCAAGATAGTTGCCAGAGTTATGAAAGACAACTCAACTAAGCTTACCTCAACTCACGTCAACACACCTTTACCGCTGGTCTATTGTTCGTAAAAACAATTTTTCAAAATATTTCGACCTAGCAGGTAAATTTTTTGCATAAATAACTATTTATTTTTTACTCTTATTTTACTTTTCGCTGGGGGCCTGCTTTCAATGGAAATGTCCAAAGAAGTTACCGATAAATTTCTGCTTAAAAAAAATTTCAGACAAACGTTGCCTTAAATTTTTACTTTAAGAAATAAAGATCAACAACTAATCGGTATTTCTTGCTCAAAATAATAAAATTCAAAAATTAACTAAAATTATTTATGTTTTATTATATATAAAGTGCTTCGTCGGTATGGTCTCTGGTAGAAGAGCTTTATTTTAAATCATTTTGTCAGAGAAAAATATCTAACAGCATTTATGCAAATCATCAAATAACAAAGCATTAAATCAGTTAGCTTTGTTGTTGCTTTTATTTTTTTTGTCAGCAGCTTTTGGCAACGAAAACTTACTGGTCTCAACTAGGTAACTATATGACGGCCACATTTTACAAACTCATTTGCATAGTACTAACATTTGTAGTTATTATTTCGTCCATACCCCTTCAACTCTGCCCCTCAAAAGCACGCTGAAGGACCAATGCCTTGCGTTTCTTACACTATTGTGTTTTTTTTTTGTTGTTTGTTTTTTTTTTTTTGGCGCCTAGCGCATTTAATTGACCCACTTCGCAATAACAAAGCACAAAACTTCGACCAACTCCTCATCCACCTCATTCTCATACCTCTTCTTTCCAGGCAGCTAGCTACACAATGTTTTAATTCATCCGAAGTTAACCTCTCCCCGCTTTTCTCACTTTTATTTTCACCTGACGAACACCAAAATCGTTAAAGTCGGTCGAGGCGAAAACGATAAGAAGTTTAGCTCAGCTTGCGTTATGAAATAATTTATTCGTATGTGCTGGCAGTTTTATTTGTATTTTTGCTTCGCTTTTATGTTTTTCTTTCTGTTTTTTTACTGCATGTTCGCACTAATCGGATATATTCAAATTTTCATGAGCACATTTTCATATTTTGCGTTTTTGCAAGTCCAATAAAAAATAATTATTTATGCCACTGCTCATTCACATAAGTCATTCTTAAGGCAGTATTAATTGAGCCTCATGGGCCTTGATATATGATCTGCAATAAACACAATGTACGAAAGCGTGCCTCGCAACATTCAAATTGTTTCACTTTTTTCACTTTTTTTGTTTGGGCTCTGGTCACATGCAATCATTGCTACCTTTTGCTGCTTGAATTTTAAATGTGTTGGCATTTTTTTCACTACGCCAAGCCGCATACGTATACCGAAAGTTAATTTCTGATGGACTTTATTCCACCTAACTAACCGCAATTACGTCAGTGGAAAAGCGCATTGAATTATAGATCTTATATCCGTGTAGTGGTTTAACTTGCCATAAAGGGAACGTCAAGGCAATAAACAAATAAATGTTGATTGAACTTGAATTTTTGTTTTTGTTTGACTACAGCGCAAATATTTACTTTGAACGTTTTGTAGCTTCATTTTAAATTAATGTCGGAAAAGGACAGGCCATATCTGTACTGTAGAATGCAATGGCGCCAATTATATATTCATCGTTTTGCTGTTATACCAATTGAGGAGCATTGTTATTTGGCGAAATTAAGTACTATTCAAAATCGGCTAGATCGATATAATTTTATTTAACTTGCTGAAGTCAAACACTGTAATGAGTCCTTTAAACTACCTACTAATAATATAATAGTCGAGTCGGAGCTTAAGCTCACTTTTTATGCATGAGGCCCATTGAGTCCAATTCAATATACGTATGCTACAAATATACATACATACATATTTAGATACACACAAGTATGCAAGTATACATTCGTGCATAAACTTTCTACACTGTCTAGTACTGAAAGTCTAACTACTACATGTATGCTTATCTCTTCGGTTGTTGGTGATAGATAAGAACACAAATTTTTGAACGAATTTCCATCATCCCTTTTCAAATTTTTTTTTCTTATTTATTCGTTAATGTGTAATTAATATGTATGTATATTAGAGTGGTCCAAAAAAATTAAGTTGGAATTTTAATGCCGGCACCCCCTAGGATTGTTCTGTATCGAAAAAAATATACCCCTATTTTTTTATTTTGAAATCAAAAAATATTTAGGGGGTGCTCAAGCGCTCAAAGTTTTCCATGTATTTTATATGGAGAAAAAACCATTTTTCGTAGAAATGGTATACAACTCTTAAAAATCAATATTTTTCAATCGGAAAACTGTGGTTCTCTTCAGGAGACTTCCAGTATTAATATCCAATTGTTTATTTAACCGTTTTTTATGATTAAAGATTTTTCCATTGCATTTTCTAGGGGTTTTGGAGGACCTATAAAATATAGTTACTAAGAAAAAATGGTTAAAGAGACAAATGCGTATTATTACTGGGAATCTCCTGAAGATAAGAAAAGTTTTCCGATCGAAAACTGTTGATTTTCAAGAATTCTACACTATTTCTACGAAAACTTGTTTTTCCCCCATATAAAATACATTGAAAACTTTGAGCGCTTTGAGCACACCCTAATTTTTTTTTATTTCAAAATAAAAAAAATAGGGGTATAATTTTTTTTGGTATAGAACAGTCCTAGGGGCTGGCGGCATTAAAAATCCGACCTTATTTTTTTACATACATTTTTGGACCACTTTAATGTATATTAACAAATGAGAACAATTTAGTAATCGCTGAAAGTGACAAATGAAAAAGAACTTAGTTTAAAATTGTTACAGTTTATTTCCAATGAGGACCAAATATTTTTTTCAATGCCTAATTTATATTCCAATATTACATTTACCATTTGTCATGATTTTTGAATGTAAAGTTTAAAAGAACGCCAAAAGCCACAGGGCCGTTCGATTTAAATTTTGTGAAATCGGGGTTTCTTCTACAGGTCTGTTTATTATAAGGCTTAATTTTAACATTTTTTAATATGATCAACTGATCGGTATTTAATGGAATATTCACGTGAATTTTTTTATAAAAACAGTTTAAAGAAAATATCATAAGTCATTTTCTCCAGGTTTCACCAATAAAAATTTATGTTTATATCAAGATAATTGTATTTTAAACTATAATACTAAATATTCAATCCGACCGTGTTCGACCTTTTGTT